TGCGGTAGACGTGGCGCACAGATCTCAACGCCACATGACCCCTGTGGGGGCAGGACAGGAAGAAGAGGAGGAGGTAGAGGAGGACATTTGTGCTCAGGAATTATTGAGTGAAATGGGTGGTTTTTTCCACTCAGCGGACAGGAGTGGGAGGAGCAGGAGCATCTGGTAGAGGAGGAGGAGGAGGAGACAGAGGACCCAGACGCACCGTGGCAGTATGCTGTGGAGATGGAGGCAGGGAGTCCCTCGCATTCCTTGGCGCAAATGGCCCATAGCATGCTCGGTTGCTTGCGTAGCGACAGCCGAATAATAACCATCAGACAGAGGGATGACTTTTGGCTGTCCACCTTGTTGGACCCTCGCTATCGTTCCAAAATGGTGGCCTTTTTCACACCTGCTGAGAGGGAGGCCAAAATTACGTACTATAAAAACCACCTATGTAGTCAGTTGGTCTCTGCCTTTGTGCGCCAACGTCCATCCTCAGACACTGTGGGCCCTGTGCGCTCGCGTTCCGCTGCCATGGCAGCAGGGGAGGGGTGGGGTGGTAGGAGCAGTGGCAGCTCCACCAGCAGCGGCTGCCTCAGTCTGCAGTCGATGATGAGTAGCTTTCTTCACCAGCGCAGTGAGAGAAACTACGAAACCAGCCGCAGCAGCAGCAGCAGCATCAGGTGGACCTGGAGCAGGAGCTCAAACAACAGGCTTGGGCCTACTTGGACAGCACCCTGCCAACCGAGGTAGACAATCCCCTTGACTACTGGGCAAACGAAAACTTGACCTTTGGCCCCAACTAGCTGAATTTGCCCTTGAAAGGCTGTCATGCCCGGCCAGTAGCGTGGCATCGGAGCGCGTGTTTAGTGCGGCAGGAGGTATTGTAACTCCGCGGAGGACACGACTGTCCACCCAAAGTGTGGAGAGACTCACGTTTGTGAAAATGAATCAGGCGTGGATTAGTCTGGATTTCAAACCACCAGTTCCTGACACAACTGACTAAATCCGCCATGAATCATGCCTCAAACATGTGCCACTTTCAGGTCTCCTCACACTGCTGGTGTGTTGAATTTTTTGGACATAGGGTGCTGGCAGATTACGGGCCTCCTATAGCTGCTGCCAGGCCCCTAATCTGCCATGGCCCCTATATACCCGCCTCCTCCTCATGCTGCTGACCAAGTCTAGAGTCTCTCATGGGTCCCTGTACGGCCTCCCATTGCTGCTGTCTCCATCGCCACACTCTGCTGCCATGTGCCACTTTCAGGTCTCTTCACACTGCTGGTGTGTTTAATTTTTTGACATAGGGTGCAGGCAGATTACGGGCCTCCCATAGCTGCTGCCAGGCCCTAATCTGCCATGGGCCCCTATATACCGCCTCCTCATGCTGCTGCTGACAAGTCTAGAGTCTCTCATGGGTCCCTGTAACGGCCTCCCATTGCTGCTGTCTCCATCGCCACACTCTGCTGCCATGTGCCACTTTCAGGTCTCTTCACACTGCTGGTGTGTTTAATTTTTTGACATAGGGTGCAGGCAGATTACGGGCCTCACATAGCTGCTGCTGCCAGGCCCCTAATCTGCCATGGGCCCCTATATACCGCCTCCTCATGCTGCTGACAAGTCTAGAGTCTCTCATGGGTCCCTGTACGGCCTCCCATTGCTGCTGTCTCCATCGCCACACTCTGCTGCCATGTGCCACTTTCAGGTCTCTTCACACTGCTGGTGTGTTTTAATTTTTTTGACATAGGGTGCAGGCAGATTACGGGCCTCACATAGCTGCTGCCAGGCCCCTAATCTGCCATGGGCCCCTATATACCGCCATCCTCATGCTGCTGACAAGTCTAGAGTCTCTCATGGGTCCCTGTACGGCCTCCCATTGCTGCTGTCTCCATCGCCACACTCTGCTGCCATGTGCCACTTTCAGGTCTCTTCACACTGCTGGTGTGTTTAATTTTTTTGACATAGGGTGCAGGCAGATTACGGGCCTCACAAAGCTGCTGCCAGGCCCCTAATCTGCCATGGGCCCCTATATACCGCCTCCTCATGCTGCTGCCAAGTCTACAGTCTCTCATGGGTCCCTGTACGGCCTCCCATTGCTGCTGTCTCCATCGCCACACTCTGCTGCCATGTGCCACTTTCAGGTCTCCTCACACTGCTGGTGTGTTGAATTTTTTGACATAGGGTGCTGGCAGATTACGGGCCTCCCATTGCTGATGCCAGACATGTAATCTGCCATGGGCCCCCATACCAGTACCGACTCCTCATGCTGTGACGTTGCAACAAGGTGTAATTCAACCCTACATATGTTAGACCGCCTTTACGAACAGCTAAAGGCCATCACAGATTTCCTGATGTTAAAAGCGGATAAAGGTACTCCCTGTGTAACTTAGATGTCAGCCATTGTCAGCTCATGTGTGACACCTGCGCTTGCTCAGGCCCTTTGAGGAGGCCACGCTATACGTGAGTCGGCAGGACTATGGGATGATAATGAGGTCAAATCGGCCATGGGCCCCCGTACCGCCTGTTCACGCTGATGCTGGTCCCACAGTGTGACCTGGGTCCCTGTACGGCCTCCCATTGCTTACACTCTGCCATGTGCCACTTTGAGGTCTCCTTACACTACTGCGGTTGTCCATTTTGACATAGGTGAGGTGGCTGGCAGATTCCAGGACTTCCATAGGTTCCGCCAGGCCCCATATCGGCCATGGGCCCCCCGTACCTCCTGGTCACGCTGCTGCTGCTGAGCCCACAGGTGACCTGGGTCCCTGTACGGCCTCCCATTGCTTACACTCTGCCATGTGCCACTTTGAGGTCTCCTTACACTACTGCGGTTGTCCATTTTGACATAGGTTGCTGGCAGATTCCAGGACTTCCATAGGTTCCGCCAGGCCCCATATCGGCCATGGGCCCCCGTACCTCCTGGTCACGCTGCTGCTGGTCCCACAGTGTGACCTGGGTCCCTGTACGGCCTCCCATTGCTTACACTCTGCCATGTGCCACTTTGAGGTCTCCTCACACTACTGCGGTTGTCCATTTTGACATAGGTTGCTGGCAGATTAGAGGACTTCCATAGGTTCCGCCAGGCCCCATATTCGGCCATGGGCCCCCGTACCTCCTGGTCACGCTGCTGCTGGCCCCACAGTGTGACCTGGGTCACAGTACGGCCTCCCATTGCTTACACTCTGCCATGTGCCACTTTGAGGTCTCCTCACACTACTGCGGTTGTCCATTTTGACATAGGTTGCTGGCAGATTAGAGGACTTCCATAGGTTCCGCCAGGCCCCATATCGGCCATGGGCCCCCGTACCTCCTGGTCACGCTGCTGCTGGTCCCACAGTGTGACCTGGGTCCCTGTACGGCCTCCCATTGCTTACACTCTGCCATGTGCCACTTTGAGGTCTCCTTACACTACTGCGGTTGTCCATTTTGACATAGGTTGCTGGCAGATTAGAGGACTTCCATAGGTTCCGCCAGGCCCCATATCGGCCATGGGCCCCCGTACCTCCTGGTCACGCTGCTGCTGCTGGTCCCACAGTGTGACCTGGGTCCCAGTACGGCCTCCCATTGCTTACACTCTGCCATGTGCCACTTTGAGGTCTCCTTACACTACTGCGGTTGTCCATTTTGACATAGGTTGCTGGCAGATTCCAGGACTTCCATAGGTTCCGCCAGGCCCCCATATCGGCCATGGGCCCCCGTACCTCCTGGTCACGCTGCTGCTGGTCCCACAGTGTGACCTGGGTCCCCTGTACGGCCTCCCATTGCTTTACACTCTGCCATGTGCCACTTTGAGGTCTCCTTACACTACTGCGGTTGTCCATTTTGACATAGGTTGCTGGCAGATTAGAGGACTTCCATAGGTTCCGCCAGGCCCCATATCGGCCATGGGCCCCCGTACCTCCTGGTCACGCTGCTGCTGGTCCCACAGTGTGACCTGGGTCCCTGTACGGCCTCCCATTGCTTACACTCTGCCATGTGCCACTTTGAGGTCTCCTTACACTACTGCGGTTGTCCATTTTGACATAGGTTGCTGGCAGATTAGAGGACTTCCATAGGTTCCGCCAGGCCCCATATCGGCCATGGGCCCCCGTACCTCCTGGTCACGCTGCTGCTGGTCCCACAGTGTGACCTGGGTCCCTGTACGGCCCTCCCATTGCTTACACTCTGCCATGTGCCACTTTGAGGTCTCCTTACACTACTGCGGTTGTCCATTTTGACATAGGTTGCTGGCAGATTAGAGGACTTCCATAGGTTCCGCCAGGGCCCCATATCGGCCATGGGCCCCCGTACCTCCTGGTCACGCTGCTGCTGAGCCCACAGTGTGACCTGGGTCCCTGTACGGCCTCCCATTGCTTACACTCTGCCATGTGCCACTTTGAGGTCTCCTTACACTACTGCGGTTGTCCATTTTGACATAGGTTGCTGGCAGATTCCAGGACTTCCATAGGTTCCGCCAGGCCCCATATCGGCCATGGGCCCCCGTACCGCCTGGGTCACGCTGCTGCTGAGCCCACAGTGTGACCTGGGTCCCTGTACGGCCTCCCATTGCTGCTGCCAGGAGGCAGCAGGGGTCGCAGCTTTGTCAGTGGAGGCAAACGGCCACGGAGTAGAGCAGCAGCTCCACTGCAGCCTACCACCACAGCCATAGTAGTGGTGCCGGTGTGCACGGAGGAAGTAGCAGTCAGCCAGTGAGGAGTAGCGGGTGCAAAGTTTCCTACTCGGCGGTGTGGCAATTTTTCGTCAAGCCGCCCGAGGAAGTAAACTTTGCCTAATGTCGACTATGTGGCCAGAAAGTCAAGCGTGGCCAGGGGGCCCATGTTGGGACTACAGCGTTGCGTCAGCATATGCAGCGTCGCCATTCGGTGGCCTGTGAAAAATGTGATAAAGATACGGCGGTTCTGCCTGCACCCAGCCCAGGGTTCCATTTTGTCATAGGGTGCTGGCAGATTAGCGGCCTTCCATAGGTTACGCCAGGCCCCATATCGGCCATGGGCCCCCGTACCTCCTGGTCACGCTGCTGCTGGTCCCACAGTGTGACCTGGGTCCCTGTACGGCCTCCCATTGCTTCCACTCTGCCATGTGCCACTTTGAGGTCTCCTTACACTCCTGCGGTTGTCCATTTTGTCATAGGTTGCTGGCAGATTCCAGGACTTCCATAGGTTCCGCCAGGCCCCATATCGGCCATGGGCCCCCGTACCTCCTGGTCACGCTGCTGCTGAGCCCACAGTGTGACCTGGGTCCCTGTACGGCCTCCCATTGCTTACACTCTGCCATGTGCCACTTTGAGGTCTCCTTACACACTACTGCGGTTGTCCATTTTGACATAGGTTGCTGGCAGATTCCAGGACTTTCCATAGGTTCCGCCAGGCCCCATATCGGCCATGGGCCCCCGTACCTCCTGGTCAGCGCTGCTGCTGGTCCCACAGTGTGACCTGGGTCCCTGTACGGCCTCCCATTGCTTACACTCTGCCATGTGCCACTTTGAGGTCTCCTTACACTACTGCGGTTGTCCATTTTGACATAGGTTGCTGGCAGATTAGAGGACTTCCATAGGTTCCGCCAGGCCCCATATCGGCCATGGGCCCCCGTACCTCCTGGTCACGCTGCTGCTGAGCCCACAGTGTGACCTGGGTCCCTGTACGGCCTCCCATTGCTTACACTCTGCCATGTGCCACTTTGAGGTCTCCTTACACTACTGCGGTTGTCCATTTTGACATAGGTTGCTGGCAGATTCCAGGACTTCCATAGGTTCCGCCAGGCCCCATATCGGCCATGGGCCCCCGTACCGCCTGGTCACGCTGCTGCTGGGCCCACAGTGTGACCTGGGTCCCTGTACGGCCTCCCATTGCTTCCACTCTGCCATGTGCCACTTTGAGGTCTCCTCCACACACTACTGCGGTTGTCCATTTTGACATAGGTTGCTGGCAGATTCCAGGACTTCCATAGGTTCCGCCAGGCCCCATATCGGCCATGGGCCCCCGTACCTCCTGGTCACGCTGCTGCTGAGCCCACAGTGTGACCTGGGTCCCTGTACGGCCTCCCATTGCTTACACTCTGCCATGTGCCACTTTGAGGTCTCCTCACACTACTGCGGTTGTCCATTTTGACATAGGTTGCTGGCAGATTCCAGGACTTCCATAGGTTCCGCCAGGCCCCATATCGGCCATGGGCCCCCGTACCTCCTGGTCACGCTGCTGCTGGTCCCACAGTGTGACCTGGGTCCCTGTACGGCCTCCCATTGCTTACACTCTGCCATGTGCCACTTTGAGGTCTCCTCCACACTACTGCGGTTGTCCATTTTGACATAGGTTTGCTGGCAGATTAGAGGACTTCCATAGGTTCCGCCAGGCCCCATATCGGCCATGGGCCCCCGTACCTCCTGGTCACGCTGCTGCTGAGCCCACAGTGTGACCTGGGTCCCTGTACGGCCTCCCATTGCTTACACTCTGCCATGTGCCACTTTGAGGTCTCCTCACACTACTGCGGTTGTCCATTTTGACATAGGTTGCTGGCAGATTAGAGGACTTCCATAGGTTCCGCCAGGCCCCATATCGGCCATGGGCCCCCGTACCGCCTGGTCACGCTGCTGCTGGGCCCACAGTGTGACCTGGGTCCCTGTACGGCCTCCCATTGCTTACACTCTGCCATGTGCCACTTTGAAATCTCTTCACACTCCTGCGGTTGTCCATTTTGTCATAGGTTGCTGGCAGATTAGCGGCCTCCATAGGTGCCGCCAGGCCCCATATCGGCCATGGGCCCCCGTACTCCTCCTGGTCACGCTGCTGCTGAGCCCACAGTGTGACCTGGGTCCCTGTACGTCCTCCCATTGCTTCCACTCTGCCATGTGCCACTTTGAAATCTCCTCACACTCCTGCGGTTGTACATTTTGTCATAGGTTGCTGGCAGATTACAGGCCTTCCATAGGTGCCACCAAGCCCCATATCGGCCATGGGCCCCCGTACCGCCTGGTCACGCTGCTGCTGGGCCCACAGTGTGACCTGGGTCCCTGTACCGCCTCCCATTGCTCCCACACTCTGCCATGTGTCACTTTCAGGTCTCCTCACGCTCCTGCTGGTTTCCATTTTGTCATAGGTTGCTCGTATGGCCTCCCATTGCTGCTGCCTCCACCGCCACACTGTGGCTCCAAACACTGGTTTTGGCCCCGTGACTGGCCAAGGAGTGAGTGAAGTGTGCAGTGATTCTAAGATCGACGGCACTCATCTGCATGTCATACTGACAGACAGTATTATTTCTCTTCCCCAGCAGACTCCAAGGGCATTAAATTAAAGGTACAGTGTTCTGCACTAATATTAAGTCTCTCTGAAGCCTAGAAACACCCTTTTTTAAGTTAAATTCACAGCGAATTTATTCGACTCGAAACGAATATTGTCCACGAATTCGCCGAATCAGTCGAATCGAATTTTTCATTTCTTCGCTCATCTCTACTGTTGACAATTCACCAAAATGGTCAATTTTGCTTTATCATACTTTTTGTAAAACGACAGACAAAAAAAAGCCACACGTCCCCCTCCAGAAAATGACTTCCATATCATAAGATAAAGATGCTTAAACTTATAATGTAAATAGAAATGATAAGACCATATCTGAAATGTGATAATGCCTCTACAGTATAAATGGTTAAAGTAGAAAGAATTTTATATATATACAGTCAGGTCCATAAATATTGGGACATCAACACAATTCTAACATTTTTGGCTCTATACACCACCACAATGGATTTGAAATGAAACGAACAAGATGTGCTTTAACTGCAGACTGTCAGCTTTAATTTGAGGGTATTTACATCCCAATCAGGTGAACAGTGAAGGAATTACAACAGTTTGCACAAGTGCCTCCCGCTTGTTAGGGGACCAAAAGTAATGGGACAGAATAATAATCATAAATCAAACTTTCACTTTTTAATACTTGGTTGCAAATCCTTTGCAGTCAATTACAGCCTGAAGTCTGGAATGCATAGACATCCCCAGACGCTGGGTGTCATCCCTGGTGATGCTCTGCCAGGCCTCTACTGCAACTGTCTTCAGTTCCTGCTTGTTCTTGGGGCATTTTCCCTTCAGTTTTGTCTTCAGCAAGTGAAATGCTCAATCGGATTCAGGTCAGGTGATGGACTTGGCCATTGCATAACATTCCACTTCTTTCCCTTAAAAAACTCTTTGGTGGCTTTTGCAGTCTGCTTTGGGTCATTGTCCATCTGCACTGTGAAGCATCCAATGAGTTGTGAAGCATTTGGCTGAATATGAGCAGATAATATTGCCCGAAACACTTCACAATTCATCCGGCTGCTTTTGTCAGCAGTCACATCATCAATAAATACAAGAGAAGCAGTTCCATTGGCAGCCATACATGCCCACGCCATGACACTACCACCACCATGCTTCACTGATGAGGTGGTATGCTTAGGATCATGAGCAGTTCCTTTCTCCATACTCTTCTCTTCCCATCACTCTGGTACAAGTTGATGTCGGTCTCATCTGTCCATAGGATGTTGTTCCAGAACTGTGAAGGTTTTTTATATGTCGTTTGGCAAACTCTAATCTGGCCTTCCTGTTTTTGAGGCTCACCAATGGTTTCCATCTTGTGGTGAACCCTCTGTATTCACTCTGGTGAAGTCTTCTCTTGATTGGTGACTTTGACACACATACACCTACCTCCTGGAGAGTGTTCTTGATCTGGCCAACTGTTGTGAAGGGTGTTTTCTTCACCAGGGAAAGAATTCTTCGGTCATCCACCACAGTTGTTTTCTGTGGTCTTCCGGGTCTTTTGGTGTTGTTGAGCTCACCGGTGCGTTCCTTTTTTTTAAGAATGTTCCAAACAGTTGTTTTGGCCACGCCTAATGTTTTTGCTATCTCTCTGATGGGTTTGTTTTGTTTTTTCAGCCTAATGATGGCTTCACTGATAGTGACAGCTCTTTGGATCTCATCTTGAGAGTTGACAGCAACAGATTCCAAATGCAAATAGCACACTTGAAATGAACTCTGGACCTTTTATCTGCTCATTGTAATTGGGATAATGAGGGAATAACACACACCTGGCCATGGAACAGCTGAGAAGCCAATTATCCCATTACTTTTGGTCCCTTAACAAGTGGGAGGCACATATGCAAACTGCTGTAATTCCTACACCGTTCACCTGATTTGGATGTAAATACCCTCAAATTAAAGATGACAGTCTGCAGTTAAAGCACATCTTGTTTGTTTCATTTCAAATCCATTGTGGTGGTGTATAGAGACAAAAATGTTAGAATTGATTTGATGTCCCCATATTTATGGACCTGACTGTATATATATATATATATATATATATATATATATATATACACACATACATATATACATATATGCATATGTACACTGCTCAAAAAAATGAAAGGAAGACTTTGAAAAACCATCAGATTTCAATGGGGAGGAATCTCCTGCTGGATCTCTATACTGACATGGACAGCTAATGTGTGAGGAATGTAAAGACGCCCCATTGTTTGATGAAAATGATCGACTTACAGAGGATTGAATTCAAAG